AGCTCCTCATGCTGCCCAGGCAGGGCAGGGGCTGCTCTGAAATCGGAAACTGTGTAAGTTGTGTTTTACCCTAAATAAAGGTCTTTGGCTCACCATCACAGAGACTCAGCTCCTCAATACTCCCGCAGTCTGCAGCACAAGTTGCCCTGGGCAAGAAGAGGTGCTCCTCACCCAGGCTGAGGTCTGAGCCCACAGCAGTGTGGCATTCGTTTGTCTGCAGCTGTCAAGTCCGATTTTATTGTCTCTAAACTCATTTTGAGATGGGAATAGTAGAGTTTATGACAAACAGGCAAAGCTGTAGGTTTCACAGTAACACCTAGGAGGATCCTAGCTTTCCTTCCTGGACTACTTCTTTGAGACAGAGGGTGTTGGGATTTTGACCTGAAGTCATAACGTATCCCACTGGGCTTAAGCAGCAATGAAGTGAGAAGTCTTACCAAGTAGCATCTCTCTGCCCGCATTTTGCATTTTCAATCTGGTTTACGGAAGGTAAACTGTCATTCTAGAAAATTAAGGGCACGGATTACTTGGGTGTCCACAGATGACTAGGGGTGTCCGCTTTATGAAAACTGGACACCCATAAATCTATGCGCCCAGATGGGATGCACTCAAGAATGCTGAGGGAACTGGCAGGGGTCATTGCTCAGCTGCTCTCCATCATCTTTGACAGGTCATGGAGAGCGGGGGAGGTGCCAGAGGACTGGAAGAAAGCCGGTGTCACTGCAGTCTTCAAAAAGGGCAAGAGGGAGGAGGTATGAGTTAAGTCAAGGAAAAGAAGTTGTTCAGGAGTAGTCAGCATGGATCCACCAAGGGGAAGTCATGTCTGACAAACCTGATAGCCTTCTACGATGAAGTGACTGGCCAGAGGGACGATGGCAAAGCTGTGGGTGTTGTCTACCTTGACTTCAGCAAAGCTTTCGACACAGTCACCCATAATATCCTCCTAGGGAAGTTCAGGAAGTGTGGACTGGACGAGTGGACAGTGAAGTGGATTGAGGACTGGCTGGATGGCAGAGCCCAGAAGGCGGTGATAAATGGAGGCCTGTGGCCAGTGGTGTCCTCAGGGGTCAGTACTGGGCCCAGTGCTCTTCAACTTGTTCACCAAGGACTTGGGTGAGAGCACAGAGCGCACCCTCAGCAAGTTTGCAGATGACACCAAACTGGGTGGAGTGGCCGACACATCCGAGGACTGTGCTGCCATTCAGAGAGACTATACAGGATGGAGAGTGGGCAGAGAGGAACCTCATGAGGTTCAACAAGGACAAGTGCAGGATCCTGAACCTGAGCGGAATAACCCCAGGCACCAGTACAGATTAGGGGTTGACCTGTTGGAAACAGCTCTGCAGAGAGGGATTTGGGAGCCCTGCTTGACAACAAGTTAACCGTGAGTCAGCAGTGTGCCCTCATGGCCAAAAAGGCCAATGGGATCCTGGCCTGCATGAGGAGGAGTGTTGCCAGCAGGTTGAGGGAGGGGAACCTGCCCCTCTGCTCAGCTCTGGTGAGGCCACACCTGGAGTACGGTGTGCAGTCCTGGGCTCCCCAGTACAAGAGGGACGTGGAGCTTCTAGAGAGGGTCCAGCGGAGACACACAAAGATGATTAAGGGACTGGAGCATCTGTCGTATGAGGAAAGACTAAGTGAGCTGCACCTGTTTAGTCTGGAGAAGAGAAGGCTGAGAGGACATTTGATTAACATGTTCAAGTACCTGAGGGGTGATTGGGGCCAGGCTCTTCTCCGTGGTGGCCGGTGACAGGATGAGGGGTAACAGATGTAAGTTGAAACACAGGAAGTTCCACCTCCATTTGCGGAAGAACTGCTTTCCTGTGACGGTCACAGAGCCCTGGAACAGGCTGCCCAGGGAGGTTGTGGAGTCTCCTTCTCTGGAGATCTTCCAAACGCGTCTGGATACCACCCTGTGCTACATGCTCTAGGTGACCCTGCTTGAGCAGGGGGGTTGGACTAGATGATCCCTAGAGGTCCCTTCCAACCTCAACCATTCTGTGATTCTTTGACTTTGGAAATAAAATTGCCAAATTCATGCACGACAGAAGGAAGCAAGAGAACACCATTCATGTTTCTCTATTCTTTATTTCTCTATTGCACTGACTTTCCTTTGGAGGAAATGTCAACTTTTTGATAGCTTGTAAACAGTGGGAAAAGTATTGGCAAGTGTAGGCTTTGTTTCATCTAGCTAAGGAGTAGGCATGTTTAATTAAGCAGCTCTGCAGTTCCTGAAGCTTTTAGTGAAGTGTGAGTTTTCCAGTTCTAACCTGGAAAAGCTAAAGGACCATGATGCTGGGTGGCTGTACAGATGCTGTGTGTTTCCTTTGGAACAGACAAAACTCCCTGAAATGTCTGGGGACAAATGCAAATTCCATCAGCTTTTGTTCTTTATCTTAATGGCGCAGGTTTTCTTAAGATTACTTTCCTACTGCAATCTAAATTGTTACAGGTCTTGCCTCTTCCTTGGACATGATAAGCATTTAACTGACTCCTATACTTTCAGGGTCCTTCCACAGGTGAGGTGAAACGAAGATGTTGTAGAAGACACACTGAGAAGAAGAAACACTGTCCATAGGATAAGTAGGATCCAGAATCCATCCCTCTGGAAAGTGTTTCAGTGGCTCATATTTGTTCCATCATCGTGAAAGGGAGGGAATCTCCAAGTCCTGTCCTCCTACATCCACTTCCAGGAAGGGAAAAGAGGTATGGGGCTGCAGCTAATGGCCAGAGGCATGGAAAAGCTCTGTCACAGGGCCAGATGGGCCAGACTTTTCAATGAAAATGAATGTGACTGTGCATTTTTCTCAAGGGGAACAAATGCTGTAGGATGTTTCCCTAAGCCACATTCATGTTTTCTGCCATTTCACATTTCACCATTCAGCATACTGAGGGTAAAGTAAAAACAAGAATGAAAAGGAAACCAGAAGGTCTCATCTACAACACATTGTAGATTACAAGCTGAATGTAAAAAATTCAAGTCACATTCCTGGAACAAAAGTCCATTAAGTTTGTTAACCTATTGCTTAACATCATCTTTAACAAAACTTGCTCAAGTTTTTTAAGGACTTGCCAGTCACACGTGTCACACACTTGCCAGTACAAGAAAAGAAGTCACAGCCTGGTGCTAAATTAAGCATATCTGAATTTATTGATGTAAAGCAGGCCAAGCTTTGAATCACAGACTCTCAAAAGTTCTCTATATGGCATTGGTTCATTTGTTTTGCAATGGATCACTTAGATATCTGCACACTGCACAAACAGCCAGAGATCGTCATCTCTGGCTTTGATTCCCTAGGAAACTTGTTACAATCGTGAGTAAACAGTTCTTTGTGCAAAATCATCATTATAAATGCACTGATTAAAAATCAAGAGTTAAAAGGCCCCTGGAACTGTAGCACACCCTGGGCCAAAGCATGACCGCATCCAGAAATGTACACAAAGCAGTGGTGCACCTGAAGAAGAGGGAACAACCTCTGCCTGGAGGACTCAAGAGGCTACCGGGAAGGACTGAAGTACCCTAAGGTGCAGGCTCTGAGATGGGCTGTGAGTACCCTTTGATACCATGGGGTGATTTTCTGCTGTTGCAATCAGAGAAAGGCCCAGCTCTCCGGAAGCTGGGAAACACACAGAGCCCCGAGTGCAAGCCAGCGTTCAGAAATACCACTGCCTAAGGAGAACACCCCAGCCAAGCAGGCTGGAGGCATGGCAAGGAAGCCTTGGTTCATGCTTGTATTGTCTTTGGCCCCTTACATCCTTGTAGCCATGTTTAAAAACACTATTTGGACATCCCCAAGAGTATACTCATTATTTAGTACATTAATTAACAATATAGCAAAGTGGGCCAATACCCAACTGAATTGCAGGCATTGTGACAGTAATATTTCTGGCCACTCTTACTCCATTTCCTACACGCAGCCTCATCATCAGGTGACAAGGAAGCTTGCAAGAAAAATTACCAGGAAAAGCACTAAGTCAGGATGCTTCCAAGAGCTGTGTATTCTCAGCTGAGGAGCTTATTCCCTTGTGAAAGAAGCTAAATTACAACCTCCTCAAAGACCAACTGCTCTTATTCTATTAAAACAAAAATCAAAATAAAATCACTGTGAGGTCTCCAACTCCTGGGACGCTCTTACCTACCAAAATGCTCCAGTGTGCTTTATGGGGTAGCCTGTCCCCACACACAGATGTAGGCACCTGAGAAAAGAGACACAAGGTAGGAGAGAAAAGAGAGGACAGTCATGAGCACATCATCGTTTTTTCCAGAAGATCCCCAGCTCTTTCACTGTAAGAGGAAGGGAAGAGCACCTGGCACCTCCGCTAGAGGTGCAGAGTTTCTTTACCTGAGACAGGATGGGTCGTGCTTAGGAAAGGGAGCAGTGCAGCAGCAGGAAGGGGAAGCAAGAGGAAAAAGCCATTGGCCTTTGCCTTAAGTAAAGGCAGAAGAGCTTCCTTTTCAGCACTGAGACTCAAGACAAGCCCTTGGGGCACAAAGAGCACCAAAGACTTACTTTGGTTCCTTCACCTGATCTTTACACAGAGACCTTAGCAAGAGACCAAGCAAGGCCTCATGTTGCCCTAAGCATCCAATCATTAAAGCACACAGGCAGACTTAGAGGACACGTTTTCTCAGAATTCATTATGGGTCACTGAGCAACTCTTCTCATTTGTCCTGGTGCAAGCTCACCTGACTCAGGAACCTATTTCCCAATACGGCAGACACATTATCATCATTTTCAGGAGTTCACACAAGTTGAGCAATCCATTAGTTAAATTGATCAACAGGCACAATGAAGCCAGAACCACTGAAAAAGATCAAGTGCTGTGGAACAAACACAGAGCATTTGTCCAGTTTCTGAGATACTGGGAGCTCCCATACTTTTTAGCCTGGTTACGTTAAAAATTGGAAGAGTGCATATAATTTCAGCTTTAATTTAGTGCCTAGGTATACTGGCCACTTCTTGCAATTAAAACCAATGCCATTTTACAGAAGTATTTAACAGGAAGAATACTCACTTAGCAAGGTTTTGCTTGGCTTGTGATTTACAATTTAAAGCAGCATGGATCAGTAACTGGCTGAAAACATCTCTCTGGATAAAAAAGGAGGGGAAAGAAAGTTAATACATAATGATAATAAAAATAAGTCAATACTGTTGATTACAATGGCTTGTTCTGCAAGTTTTTAAGACTCCAGAGGAAACTCATCCACAACTTAAATTGTTAACACTACTAGCAATGTTTGCAAACAGAATGCGATCACAACCACACTTCATTTTTCCCTTTCCAAGAAATGATTGCTATTAACAGCACAGGCTACCGGAGGAGGATTAAGTTGTGCTAAAAAGCCTTTCACTGATCTCTTTACCTGAGCATTACTGCCTCCTATTTGGATTAGCTGGTAACGGATTGGGTACAGCAGATCTACAGCTTTGTCACAATTTCCATTTTCAAACTCCACCAGAGCCTGGCACAGTGGCAGCCCCAAACTTGGAGCCAGGGAAAGCTCGTGTTCTTCACCATGGGTTCTGCAGAACAAGAATGTGATTAAACTCCAGTTAAATATAAATAAATTAATAAATAAATAAGTGTACTTTCAGTGCCAGTCTGCCCCTGTCTGCAGAGAGGACCGCTTTTAGCCTACAGCGGATGAGGTTTCAAGTACTTTGCTGACATAACTAATTTTCTGGGGTGATTTTATCCTTTTTGTGAGCAATCAGGAAGTCTCACCCATTCTCTCTGTACTGCTAAAGGCACAGGGCCAAGGCCTCCTGCCTTCACAATATGCTCTTTGGGCTACAACAAGTGGAAACCCTTTCTGTCTAGCCTCTGCCTACAGGTTCTTCTCTCTAGCCAGCAATTCTGCACAGGTTGCTATCCTAGGCTTCTCACCAGAGCATCTTCTTGCTAGTTCTCTGCCTGCATCTGTCTTCAAAGTGGCTGCCAAGTTCTTGCAGAAAACTCTGAGCAGGAACCTCGCAAAACATCTCTGCTCACACATACACACGTCAGTCTTGTACTCCGGCTTTAAACTGTGCAATGAATCACAGCTCTCCAAATCTGCTCCATTTCCAGACATGACTACTCTCAGGCAGAGTGCTCGGAGGTCCACAAACAGCCAAGCAATTTCACCTAGGGCTTAAATTATTGTTTTCTTTTTTCCTCTGCTTTTTAATGTTTGTATCCTCACCCATCTCGGAGGAGCAAAAACGCAACAAGCCTGGAGAAGACAATGTCAACACAAGCGATCCTTCTTTCTCCATTCTAAAAACACTAACACAAACAAAACAAACACACAAAAAATACTCAAGTAACCAAATTTCAGCTCTTTAGTCCATAGGCACTACCTGCACAGCCAATGTGAAAGTGTGTCTTTTCACGGCTGCAACAGGAGCTGACAGTGCCAAGGCCTCCAAAATGCCACTTTGCTTCCAAAGGCGGTGGAGCAGCACTGGAGGCAGAGGAGGGCTTGCTCTCCCAGGCTACAGAGCTATCTCTGAGAACACACTGCGCAGTGGTCTATGGCAGGCACCAAATGAGCACATTTCTCATTTCTTTTGGCACTTTTTCCAGCTAGCATTTAGCACTAAGGAGTCAGAGGACTAACCTTAGTCTCAGGCTTCTCTTTCGAGTGCTCATAACAGCAACTCATGCTCCTTAAGCAGGCTACACAGCACCTCACCAAATAACACAGAGTGAAGTTGACTCCAAAAAAAAATGGTGCACATTCAAGTGCATGCTTTCTATTCGCATCACCTTTCTGAGAAAGCTCATAGCAGTATTTAAAAAAAAAAAATCAAACTCTTTAGAGATCTACCCTCCACCAATTTGGCTGTGTGATGCACCACACAGACTCCTGCCTCTGTATTTATTGATCCTCACTAAATAGAGCCTTCTGGAACGCTGTAAGCTGCCCAATACATGTGCATTTTAAAACACTGCTGACAGACACTTAAAGTGAAGGAATTCTTCCTTTAGGCATACGTTTCAACTCCCAGAAAATGCACATCCATGGAAGGCTGACTTGACTTTCTCTTGCAATTCTCTGAGATAGTGATTCAGGAAGGACTACACCGACCTAGGAATTAAAACCAAAGGAGCATTTCTAGTCTTGAAAACAAGCACACAATCTCAACCACCAGAGAGCGCCACAGAATAGATTGGTTCTTCCAATTCCACCTCGCATGGCAAATGCCAGGGGTAAAACAGCCACCAAAATCCAGGCAGGACTGTGAGTTTGCAGAAGAAATAGTTCTACCTCTGCCCTTTATGAAATATCAAACACAGCTTAGATGTTTTTAACTACACACCCTGATGTATAAGCAATAGCTCATATTTTACTCTATACAGTCTTTTACTAGACTTATTCGAGCTTTTAACATACAGATTCCTAACTCAGCCTGATTAGGCAGCTTTTCAAAAGGCCTAGTCTGATCATAGTCTCTTTCCTCAAGAAAAGGGAAAAAAAAAAAAAAAAAAGAAGCCTTATCATGCTTTAAACCACTTCAAACTAAAGTGTACTGCTGTCTTTACTTGGAGAAGGCTGAGCAGATATACAAAAGGCAGCTCTGGGCTGAAGTACCATCTTTTCTGTAAATATTCCCTGAGCTTGCGGACACATGTGGTGAGGCTATGAAAGACATTTATTATTTCTTACTTTAAGCAAATCAAATCTATACTCAGGTTTGATCTGGCAAGTATTTTATTTTGATAAGCATTCTCACAACTTCCATGCCGTTTGGATTGTCACTGACTATAACACCAGTCAAGCTCAGGTTCTCCTTCAGTCTTATCATGTGGAAACAGCAGAGCAGAGGAGGGAAAGAAGCTACGAGTGACTTCGATTATTAGCTGGCAAGCTGAAAAGTAGCACCAGCCTTTATGGGCTTAAACGCATAAAGGAAAGCCAAAATTCAATAAATTTACAGCCAGAAAGCTGTGAAGGAAAGGTGGTGGTGAGATTGCAGGATGGGGCAGGAGAAATGGAGGTGTTCTTTGGCAATAAGTCATGAGTTCCCTTCCCTACCAAGCCTACTTCTCAATTTTGTATCCCCTGACTCAATATCGCCATTATATATTTATAAGTTGGCTAAAGAATTTAGCTAAGTAATTCATTTTTATTTCATTTATAAGGAAACATGACAGAAACTGTGTATTTAGTTGAAATACTTGAATACTCTTGTGTTTGAATGCAAAATAGGAGTTATTAGAATATCATTACTAATTAAGGCACTCCGACTAAAGAACAGCCTTTTACATCTCAGCAAAAACAACCACCACAAACAGCTAGCAAGACATAGAGTGTCCTTAGTTCTATACAGGTGCAACATTTTCTTCCTTTCTCTGTAACACAGCTTAGAATCAACCCACTGAAAGAAAAAACACAGCAAAGGCTCAGATAGTGTTCATGACCACAAATGCAGGAGATTTCTATACAACAAGACTAGAACCCCCTGTAGACATTAAGGCATACACTATCACTCTGTAGTCATAAGAACAAAGATTCTTCAACACAGTATCTTAATTCCCCCTCTTACTTGGCAAGTTCCTGGAGAGTTGTTAAAAGTTCAGCAGTAGTTTGGTGGTCTTTGGCTCCAAGGAAGGACATCAAGATGTGTGCATCATTAAACAGGAGGACGTGATCTTTAGCATGCTTCTTTGTAATCTTGAGAACATTGTCCCACCTCTTTCCAAGTTTTACACCTATGAAGAAAAAAAATGCTTTTCCAGTAGAAATGCCATGTGCAATATAGTTTCATTTTATCCCAGGACAAAGAGCATTGCTCATCATCTTAAGAAACCAGTCCATGGTATATGGCATAAATAATAGATTAATGCACAGCTACAGACTGCCATATTTGGGCCAATAGTTTGCTGACTGTCAGCAATTCTTCAGCAACACTCTAGATTGCGTTACATGAGGTCCTGGCATTACTATGAGATAGCAATCAATAGCAAACAAATTCGACAGACTGGTAAGAAGAACACAAACTCATTACTAGTATTTTAGCAGAAGATTGTAGAAATAATTTCATTCTCCCTTCTCTCTCCTCATCCCCAAAACTTTAATGTGCAATGTCAAAAAGTTAGTGAGGAAGCTGCTGGCCCTGTGCACTCTCTATACTCATTTACTTTCTATATAGGTAATATTTATTTCAACCAGTATCTAGCTATGAAATAAGCGTTCTTGCTGATGTGAAAATTCCTACAAGGGAAACTCTACAGCTTTTTAGGGCCTTATCAATTTGATCCTTCCGCTCACAGCTCCAGTAACAATGGGAGTGAAATCTGCCAGAGAAGCCTGTAACCCAGGGTTGCTTGTGCCGAAGGAAATACTGATGCAATACTCTACTGGCAGAGGAGGAAAAACAAAACAAAACAAAACAAAAAACAAAACAATTATATCTCGTGGGAGGAAGAAAAGTTAGGCACATTATTATTAGCTCCAAATGATGCCTTTTCTCAAGAGGAGAATTTTAAGAGTCTCTGTGTTACACTGACCAAGCTTCTCTGAAAATATCTGAAAATATCCCCAACGTGCAAGGATAAAATAAGTTTCCCTTGACTGGAACCTTACCTTCCAAGTGAAGTCGGTACAGCATAGAAGAGTTATCTACAATATCCAGCATGCTGCCACTTGACAGACACCGGGGAGCAATCTGCAATCACAGGCATTTGTAAGCCACCCTGCCAATGGCTAGTGGGAACGTAAGCAGGTAATCAAACTTATTTTATCTTCTTATTCACAAAGAAATATCTGCTTTGCAATAACCCTAATTGCACCATTCCCAAATACCACAGTTTGAAAAGACAGCACATCTGGGGGTTTTTTTGTGTTGTTTTGCCCCTCCTGAAATTAAATCCAGTAAGTATCACAGTCACCAGCTTATTCTGTTCTTTGTAAGAGAGAGTCATATCTATTATCTCATTTTGCCAGGGATAAGAGCTGCAGTCTGCACAGCAGGTCTCAATACCTACACCACTTTGACAGTCTTGTCACAGATATACTATACCATCTGATATGTACCTTTTGTGCAGGTAATGTCACTTCACAGAAAATAGATTTTACATCATATCTTCAAATTTTTTTCCAGGATCAACACAGCCTAAATAGGAGATATCAACAGGCTAGCAAACTACCAGCGCTGCCTCTGCATCTCCTTAAAGCACAGACATAAGAATCACGTATAAACTATACAATGCTGTGTCTTCTGGGCATTTTGCCCGTTCAGAATTTTTCCCCATAATGTTGTAACAACAAAAGTAAATGGAAGATGCATGGCCGTCTCCAAATATCTTCCATCTCCTACAGACAGGAGAAAGCAGATATCATGCCCTTTAGTGTGTCTCTTCCCAGTAAAGAAAAAAGCCCTCGACTCACATGATTGTCATAAATTGTCAGAGCAGCCTCATATTCACCCTAGGAAAGCAAAAATTAAAAAAAAAGGACTGAGCGGCTAATACTACCAATACACACAGTATATTACCAATATTCTCAATACTAATATTACCAATACACACAGTTTATAAATAATGTACACACTAACCAAAACTGATTGGCAGAGTCAAAAATATACATACAAGCAATGGATATCATAGTCCTATTTCACAGCTGCCTCAGGACTTAACTAAGCAAGTCAGAGAAACCTAGAGGTATTAAGCGGAAGAACTAAGATAAACCATGGCTTGGCTGGCAAATAGTCCGTAAGATTAGGTTTTAATTTTATGATGGGTAACAATATTACTTTAAACTATGCATGAGGGAGAAAGACAAGATACTGCCTCTGGCTCTCATGGCCCTTTCTGTGATCTTTGCACAAACTAGTGCATCCTACAGGCTCTGCAATGACGGAGGAAGGAAAATAATTTTAAGCAGGCCGCAAAAAACATGTATAGACATAAGGTGGCAAAATAAACAAGCTATTAGACTAATCCTTGCAACTGCGCTCCTCCTCTGTTCCCCTTACAGAACACAGACATGCTACACAGTATTTTCCATGCAAATGACACTGTCTCCTTGCCAATGTCCTGTTTGTTGGCCTAAGAGCTAAGCATTAGGAAATCCAGAGAATTTCTGCATTTGCAATCACATAGGTAGGGTATATTGTAACCATTCCTATAAAGTGCTTCAAGAAATTCAAAATCTCAAAAAACAAGAACTAATCACAGAATCACAGCATCACCGAATCACAGAATGGTTAAGAGTAATATTGTTACCCAGAGATCATCTAGTCCAACCCCCCTGCTCCAGCAGGGACACCTAGAGCACGTGGCACAGGGTGGCATCCAGGCGGCTTTGGAAGATCTCCAGAGACGGAGACTCTACAACCTCTCTGGGCAGCCTGTTCCAGGGCTCTGTCACCCTCACACAAGCTACTCGATTTAACAGATTAGTTCAACTGCCTCTTCCTTACAATCTTTGAGACAGCCTATTAGGATGGAATTTTAAGAGAATATGGCCTCATTTTGGTCTAAGGATGGAAGAATTGATTTCCTCTTCCTATCCAATAATTGCATCAAGTGCAAGTAATGACAATATTTGACCTTCAAATGTGTTGCAATCTCACTCATCTTCTCTCAACACTAATAAAAATACTCAAACTTTCTCCAAGGTAACCAGAACTTCTCAGAATAACCACAGACTATCCTACAAAAACGGCATTGTGTTATTTTATCAAAATATCCCTTCAAATAGCTAGAAGTCCTCTGCCCTCTATAGCTGCCTTTTAAATAGTGAATTATCTATTCAGATTCCGAAAAACAAATAGATGAAGACATCTCCTACCTTTTCGATAAAATACAGAGCCCAGTGCCAGTAATTATGACAAGCAAGCATATCACTGTTCTGAGAGGAAAAAAAAATAATTATTTACAAGATAATTTCTCTTTAAAATCTATCCAGTCAAGTCAGCCTTTTTTTTTTCCAGTCAATAAAAGCAAATACTTCATGAGAGAGAAGGGACAAAATTTTACACCAGGTGCCCACGATAACTTCTCCCATGATACGTTGGCTTTTTGTGGCTATTTAAAGAGATATCTCAAAAACAATACAAAGCAAACCTGAGCAACTGCAGTAGTTAAGTGCTTGGTGCACATCTGATGATATCCGGCTTACCACCAAACACTAGTGCCAATGTCATAAAAACAAGATGACGAGGTTCCCTCCTCATGGATAAAACGAGGCCAGTATTTGCTGCTGATTTTGAGTCCTGTATGAGATGAATTAGCCATGGGAAAGGGAGCCAGTGGGGGGTTAAAATAAATACAATAAGGCAGGGTGCGTTAGTTATTTATGTGAAAAGTAGTGAGGGCAAGGACAAGAGAGGAGCGCTCAGTATGAGAACTCACAGCAATAGGGTTGGGGAAAAAAAGAAACATTTATAATAAACAGCTCTTGTATGCAGGTCCCTTTGGCAACATTCTTGGCAAATTCTTTTGATTTTTGCTGAAACACAGTAATGAAATGAATGGCATCTGCTCTTTTTGCAGTGAGCACAAAAAATCAAGGCACCTTGGAAAGTAAACCTCTCCAATATCAATATCATTATCCTGGAAAGGAGAAAAACAAATTAAAAGCAATAGAAGGAATGCTGTGGCAGTGCGGACAGATGATTTGAGTCATTAAAGACAAAGAAGTAACAATTCCAAACCAACAGGCCAAACTCAAGCAACTTCGTTAATGCCCTTGGAGCTCCAGGATTCTTTGCATGTGCTGCCATTTGATCCTCCTGCCTTCGTAAAGGCCAAAATAAAATATACTGCACAGAAGGTACAACAATGTCAGCTGTCATAAATCTTAATTATAGTGGGTCAGACTTGAAGATGTGCTACAAAGCTCTGCTTACAGATCTTGCACTTTGCTTGATTTGGATAAAGGGCATATATTGCAAGGATATGCAACTGGTTTAAGAAATGGAGCTCATAAGGCATGCAGGAGTCAGGGACTCATTGTGAAAACAGTTAGTGTCATTTTGAAGGTGCCACCTAAGCTGTCAGACCTGGGATCACTGTTTTACTAAAACCGGGACGCCGCAGGCAAAACTTCTTCCGAGACATGGCAGCTCAGAAACTCAAGTGAGAGTCTGAAGCTTAAGTGCCTGCACTGCCAAGCTTGAGACCCGAATACTCTAACTTAGAAAGCAAACACACAGAAAGAAGTCACTGTAGCCTCGTTATCCAGCCCTGCTCTTTGGGTGAGGGGGAACTGCCCTCTGCAGGAGTAGAAACTGCCCTCTGTGAGAGCAGAACTTATCTGTGCAGTCAGCGAGCCGAAAGGGTAGACAGTGTGAAAGGACAGGCTTTGGGTGGCTCTGGGTGGCTCTAACTTCTTTAGTATTTAGGTAACTGCAACATTCCTAGAAAGCATGGCGGAAATTCATGCAAAATACATAACCCTCTTAAAATGCCTTTTTTTCTGCCTCTTGCTTCCAAAAGTGTGTGGATGGAAACACCACCTGAAGTCATGGTTTCCTCTCATTTGTAAAATTTGCGTTGCTTGTAACACCTCTGTTGATAGAAAGGAAACAAACAAGAAGACGCAGAATTTGGATATAGGAGAAAAAGAAGACCTCTAAAGTCATAAGGAAATTCTACAAACGTGTACCTGCCAGTTGGTTTCCGTTTCTGCCATAAATGATAATCCCTTCTCCACCTCCGCTTTCATTTCAATTATGTGAGCTATAGTATGAACAGACCAGGCATCTGTCTTATTCACAGCCAAGGCCTAATAGAGAAAAGAAAGGGAAAACATGGTGAAGCTCCTGTTTAGTACTGCTGATGTAGAAACTTGAGGCTATTTCTCAGTTGCGTATATTAAGCATACCACTGTCCTGTTCCAGCTAACCATGGCCTGGAAGACTGATTGAAACAGAAAAGAGAGAAAAAGTTATTGCCCTGACTTCACTTCCTGGCTTCAAATGCACAGAGATGGACAGCTGCAAAACAGTTTTCAAATGCAGGCTTTAATGATGATTATTAAATGCCATTTTGCTTCACAGACATGAAAAAACTACCAGACATGAAAGAACTGCACGCATAAGCAAAGACATCCTCCTTCTCAACAAAGGGCAAGCAAATAGCTTGGTTCAAAATAATTTGGTTTAAAACAATCCAACCAACAAACAAACGGCAGCAATGTTCGCTGCAGTTCTTCCTGGAAGAACACAGCCGCTTCTGAGCAATGAGCAACTTCTTTTTTCCTCCTCCAACAAATTTGAGGTCTTAAACGTCCGTCATTTTACAGTGTCAGACTATCTTCGTGAAAAGAGAAGAGGCAGATGATTTTTGAACCCAGACACATTCTGGACTTACTTGTTCAATAATCAAGGGGCAAGCAATTAGAAAAGGGTCAGGGAAAAACAAAACAAGGCAAAACCCCATGGACGGGGTCCAAGGATGGAGGGTCAAGAGCAGATTGCCTCAAATCAGAGCGGCTGAAGTGCTTCAGCATCCTCTTGAAGATGCTGCTAGTCCTAGCTGTCTAAAACGTCCTACCGAGGAGTTCAGCTGTTTCCATTTGGGCAGTGACTAGGATGATGGAGTTCCAAAAGCCCTTTGTTAAAAGGGATGTAGGCGCCCTCATATCCCCCCCGAAATCAGGGGGTTTCTCATCCACTTGCCAAACTATTTCTCAAGAACTAAGAACGGATGGGCTTAGTCTCTAACATGCAAAAATGCATGTTACCTAGTAAACTGACACCATTTCCTCTCTTAGGTACTCTCTTTTGCCTTGCTGTCTGAAATAATAAAAGTGACTGAAGTTGTGGAAGTGACTGATTTTCTACTCTCAGCTCTAAAAGACTGTCAGTGACCTTCAAGATAACCCAAAGAACAGCATGACAAATATATCAAGGACTTTTAAAGCGCTTCCTTATTCTTATTTAGTTCATTTTGAGTGGAGTGTGTTTTAACCATATTTCTCAAATAAAGATCTCCATGCACACTGTATTTTAACAACTCTAAATCCTTTCAATACCAAGAGCAACCACTTTACCTCACAGGCAAGCTCTTCAGCACGGTCAAAAAAGTTGGTCTCCATCAGTCCAAATGCATAGTAGCCCTTCACATAGCTAAACAAAAGGAAGGAGGAAACAAAAGCACCATTTTATTCATTTAGAATTAGGCTTAAAACAGAAATGAAAGAAAAAAAATAGGAAAAAAATAAATAACAGCCAACAAACCAACCTTCTTGAGCTGGCAGAGTGTCGTGAGGAATTGCGAACACATCATTTCAAGAAAAATAACTTTGGCAATACCAAATTGGAATAGCTAGTTTGAAGTTCTCTTTTCCTACATGTAGTCCAAACCACTTCATCAATTTCCAACTTTAAAACATTTTGTAGAATTTTATCAACAGAAGGAGAAAAGTGTCTCCAAGTGAATCACGGGTCAGTGCATGCAGTGACATCATGCACACCATCAGGTTCTTGCGAGTTGATATTTTGATCTTTGGATAGACCAGAGTTAAAAGGGCTGCACAGAAAAATCTGCTTGTCTCTGAGTCACAGCAAAGTGAAGAATTGGTGGTCAAAAGTTAAACAGTGCTACTTTGAAAGTTAGCTGATGGTTGCAAAGGCCACACAGATGCATGACTGTAGCCTTCTGCACTTTCAAGAGTGCTCACAAGACTACAGGCGAACATTTTTATCGGAAGTGGCTCTTTGTAACTGCTTATTGTCATTGTCGATTCACACAGCACCCTCCCCAAGCAATAAAGGCTCAAGCTAAATGGAAAATGGGGATACTGTAAATCCTTATGCACATAACTCCTGCAGTAAATTTTAAGGAATGTTTAACTTCTGTTGTATTTGCCCATTCCAAGATGGCAAAATATCATTGTATAGGTCCATTGTTCTCAAAGTATCTGTTGCATTTTTTTTAAACACCTGAATTAATGGAAATAATGCTCTGCGTGTGGTACACTGGGCATGATTAATTTCTAGGACTGAAATAAAGAAAGGCTCATATTTGGCCAAATATGTTTCAATTCAGGAAAAAAAGTAGCACCTCTTGGTCTACAGGTCGCTGCCAAACACATACTGCTATTTCCATGTAACTCAAAAAAAAAAAACACATAGCACATGTATATAGCATATATAAGGCAATCTTGAAAAGAACACATGACCTACCTGCTGAGAGGAACATCAGGTGTCCAGAAAGGATACACCCGGGCAACAGAATCTCGCATCTGTATTTGATATCCAAGGTAGAAATAAGTATCCTGGGAAAATTTGAGGGCTAGCAGGTCCGTGGGGTGGCTCTGCAGAATCTCTTCCCATAGGTCACAAGCTTTTGGAAGATGGCTAGAAACAGGGAACAATGTGAACACTGAAAGACACGCATACCTACCACTAGTGTCACTAAACACCTCAGGCTACTTGGATAAATACAAAACACAATTTCAGAAGACTTTGTCTTGAAGGAATTCCCTAGTTTCTTTAAGGTTTGTCATGACATGGACTTCACAAAGTCCCTTGAAGGAAACCATGTAAACAAAATCCTTTTCTTACATGCCACACACAGACATAAGTCATAAACCGAAGGGTCTTCCTTCATGGGTCAACTTTAGGGTTATATCGTAGAGACCTGCCATGCTTCATCTAATTGCACAGGCATGAAAACAGCAACTCTCTTCACCTTCCAGGTGCAGTCAAGCCAACAGGAACAAGGCCTCCATCATGTCCCTCATATCCTACCTTAGTTCATAAATCTGTGCTCACCTGTTTACTTGACAAACAATGAAAGTGAAATGTGTGCCTTAGTGTCCACAGAGTACCTACCTCTATGTTAGTGAACAAGACAGTGATGCCTACTGTGCTTCTGACACTCTGCTAGCTCCCCATTTTACACAGGAAACCAAACTTTTGCCACAGGGTGACAACAGAGTGAAACAGAGTCTATGACTCTGCATCTGTGGTGTCTTGTCTGTGTGGTATTATACTGGTTTCTTAATTGTAAACAACTTATTCCATTCATGGACATATGACAAATTTTAAAAAAAGGAATGTCTGATCCCATGACGTGGCAGCAACACACCATTTGCTTGCCCGGGGATGCTGCTGGCACCAGCCATGGTACATACAGTTGACAGGAAGTCAAGAGCAACTGTCTAGAGGTCATCTTGACCCTTTGCTACGTCCCAATAATCTCAGGCTGTACCACGACCGCCCAGCACTGCCACCCGTGCTTCCTACAATCTCCACACTTTCCAACAGCACGAAAGGTGCCAGCACAACAGCACATGCCATACATGCCGACTTTGTACGCAGCGACAGCAAAAAGATTCACACTAATCAAACCAACTCCCGTCCCTTTCCCCAGATGGCCAGTCACTCACCCCTTGGCAAACATATCCAGTGCACATACATGGAGCTTCTCCCGCTCAGTCAGTGCCTGTGATTTTGCCAGTGTCATCATTGTTCTCATTGCACTGTCCAGCTCTTTGTTGAGCCGCACTGAACTTCCAGTGCCAATCAGCTCCAATCCATTAGCGATGACATGTCCCATTGCTACAGAAACCAGCATATTAGACGTTGCAATGTAGAGAATTTATCTCTACATAAGTTCCTGAAAGGGGGTTTTGTCTGCTTGTTCGTTTGTTTGTTTAAAAAAGGAACTGCCTTATAGGTGAAAGTAATTCGAGGCTTTAAGACATTATCCAGTAGAATCCAGCTGAAGAAGTAAAGGTTACACTTACTAAAACTTGGATCTGCTGCTTTTAACTTGGAGAGACAGCCCTCAATACCTCCTAGAGTCTCATTATTGGTCCAGGTTGCATACTGTAACAGAGAAAGACAATTGCTAGAAAGCAGATGATGCTTGATGGCACAAGCAAGTCAAACTCAAAAGTAAGCAAGCCAAAAGATGAAAAGAGAAACTTTATTTTCAGGTAAGAGTTAGCTTAGTAGGATGATGGAGATGCTGGCTTCTTTAAGGCATGCCAGCAAGTGGAAGAACTAACAATCTAGGGGTTTATGTAGTTTAGGTCTGGTGGTAGATTTTCCAGTGTTGAGTACAAACAGCTGACTGGCTGGAGGTTTGTCCTGCAGCTGGAGTATTCAGCATAGCTCTCTGAAAGAAGATTATTTATTTATTGCTCTCTACTAATGGCAGGCATTAGCAGCCTTGCACAAGCCTTGCATGAAGGTCACATCTGGGAGTCCACAAGTTTCTGGTTACATTTTGATGAAGTTGCTTAAAAGACTCACATATTGCTGGGAAGAACAAGGGACACCTGTGCACGCATGCATGCAAAGGCCTTGCTGAAGCCTTCTTTCCTGAAGAACCTCAAGTAAAAATAGCTTGTTTCTAATCTTTTGGTTGATAAGAAATTTAAAGAATGTATGCAGCTGTTCATACACAACGCTCTTCAATTCACAATCTCTCATTTTTTTCTGTCCTACCTGGGTCAAGGCAGCATCAAATAGTTTACAGGCTTCGTTGCTAGTGGTGGAAAGGATAAGTCCAGCATCCTGCCAGGCCTGTGCAAAAAATACAAAATGTCTCATTTCACACATTGATTACCCAGATTAAGCCAACAAAACTTAAAAGGTGATCATACCTTTAGGTGTGCTTCAACTATGGTTAAAAAAAGGAGAAAGAAAAAGCTGGGAGGAAAATGTGAAGAGCCATCTAAAACCCTTATGGAGTAACAATCATACAGGAGAATCAATTAAATAGAGTTAGCAGTGGTGGAAGAGGAGACACACTTTAGAAGGTAGAAGATTTCCCCATGTTATGAACCTTGTAAGCCCAGAACCATCCTGAATGCAATACAATGCAATGTTGGCCTAGTCACCTCTTCACAAGTAGTGACACAGCAAAAGAAAAGCGTGCTTTGCTTCTGATGAAATCAAGACCACAGGTAGCACACAGGCCCCATAATCTGACACATCAAGCTAAAATGCAATATAGCATTAGGCTGACCCACCTTCTTAAGAAGTTACAAAACACTGGCTGAGATGTCACACGCTCTGCTGTTCTCAAAATGCTCCAAGATTAAAAGCAGAGATTTGACGATGTGGGTGCAACATGGACAATGTGGCGGCTGCTAGATGGACTCTTTACCCAACAGTGCAATTAGCTGTGGCAAAGGAGTTCCAGGAAGTCTTTAAGAGTGCTCTCCGCAGTATCTCAGGAAACAATGGAAAAATCCAAAGACTATTCCCTAATGTTTAACTTACTCATAGGACTGCCTAAGCCATTTCAGCACTAAAAGCCTGCACATTTTCTTACACAGGTGGCAGCACATACAGAAGGACTCTCCTTTCACAATGGCCAGTGCTTCCCTTCAAAACTTGCTAACTAATACACTTCTAACCCAGTTGCTGTGTATGCCAGCTCGTCACTCACCATACAGTGGGCCCACACTGAGCCCATCACTGCCTTTACACTGCAGGTATCTCAAGCATTGACAAGCTGTATTTCTTGAGACGCCTGCAGAGGAGAGACACTGCCCAGACACTTTATCCAGCTGCTGGCCAAGGCCAAAGCCTGGAGCTTTTCCCCTGCTTTAAGACAAGAGTTTAGTAACAGGGTCTGCTGATTATTAACTCAGAGCCGTGTCCCTTGTGGAGCCCCTGCTGGCTCTCAGGACCCTCTGCTTCTTCCAGGTTGCTCTTTGCACACCTCCTACCACTCAAGGGTGTTTTCCAGAGCTCAGGAGCTCCACCACCTCTGATACTCCCCAAAGGTCTCCAGAACTTCTTTAAACCTGCCAATCTATCTTTTTCTTACCTTGTATAACAGGCCTTGTACATCAGCAGGTGTCATGCTGGCACGTTCCTAGTATATCCTGAGAAAGGCCATCATTAGTAGAACTTTTTCCAACAAATTGATTTCTCTAGGTTGTTTGCTAGATTTGTTTGCCAGCACTTTTTTTTTTTTTTACGTCTGTTTAACTGGTAACATGACAGCAAACTTTGAGTCACTGCAGAGGAGGCTCCTGCAGCAAGCCGCAGCTCTTGCCAACTAACTCAGACTCACACGGACCCTCTTGGGCAGTGTTAAATTTGGAAAATACCACGGTTTGAGCTAGCCACAGCTTGGAGGGAAGAAGTGGCAAGAAGAAGATACGTGTACATGTACCCAAGCACATAAAGAGCAGAGTGGGAAGGGGAGAAGATGCTGCAGCAGGCACCATGGCTGCAAAGTGAGCGCTGACAAGGAGCAGAGCACCAGGGCCCAGGAGCCTCTGCGGAGCAAGCAGCAAGCGCGGGCAGAGCTGGACCCAGAGCAGGAGGCAGCGCAGAGCTCGCCCCAAAGGCACCTGGCCTGGGAGAGGCCTGTGAGGGGCTGGCAGGGGCCACCCGCGTGAGGTCCGCTCGCAGCCGCCAGGGAGGAAAAATAAACTTACTGGGACGCCCACACCCGCCCCACAGCGGCCCTCACCTTGCAATCCCGCAGCGGCGCCATTACCCTGCTTTCCCAGCTCCGTCGACCCACGAGTGGGCCGGACGCCTCCCGACCGCGGAGAAGGAGCCACCGCGGGGGCCGCCTCCTGCCTCCCTCCTGTCAGGCGCCGCTGGCCCGCACCCCCGATGGCTGTGGCCCTTTTCCTTTGCGCTGCCCAATTCCCGCCTCGGTTGCAGCGTTTGGGATGTGGGCAGAGCTGCAGCTTTGGGCAAGCAGGTTTCAGGGGGAGGTTTGTTCCAGAGCGGGGGGCAATAGAAGGAGCCGGGCGGCTCCCCCCACGCCTCAGAGGGGATGGGAAGCCCCATTGTTGGGTGGCGTCGCCAGGGGCCACCTGGTTCCTTGATGCCCTCGGGACCCAAGGTGCCCAGCGCAGGGCGAGCGGCCCTGAGGGCACCTCTGCAGCCCAGCGCGGCTGCCTTGTGCAGCAGCAGCACCAATGGCTCTTGGGCCACGGCTCTCCCTCGGCCAAGCGGCGGCGGCGCCAGCGCTGGCCTTTCTGCTCCTCTGGCTTCCTGGCGGCTGCCCTCCAGCCTTGGCAGATGCTTCTCCCCTTCTGCAGCCACCACCCCTGCTGGTCACTTGCTTGGGCCCTCATGGACACGTCTCACAACGACAGAACAAGGAGCACTGGATCACCTGCTTATGGAGTAAAACTATGAATCTGCATTACCAGCCAGCCCCCAGAGCAAAGCTGCAGCCACAGCCCCCACCACATTGTTCATGGTACCTGAACTCATCCTGGGTGAAGAATACATCTCATTGGTCAGGGGAACTTGTGCTGCAGACAGGCCTCCTGCCTGGAAGCAGGCCACCAGCCACAGCTTCCAGCTTCATTACAATGCACTGCTTATCAGCTTCATGCGCTGCTCCTGCATGCCTTCATCACAACTTAAGCATTGAGTTGTCCAGGCAGGACATGCGGCTGTTTGTACTTTGGCCACACGTTCACCTGATCCACCCAGGGGAGCCGGTAGAGCTGGGCTGGTGTGCACGCCTCAAGAGCGCAAAGTGGCAATACCGTTTTAGCAGCCACGGAAGCAACCCATCTGCCCTTCTCGTTCCCAGCAATGAGTATGAAGAGACACTACCACTCTATGCTTACCCAGGAGCTGAGGTGCAACAGGTCTGTGCAACATATTACAACTACCGTTTGACTGTACGCTACAGGCACCATGGGCTCCATTTAGCTTCAGTCAGCATTGAGCAGATGCCGCACATTAGCCTCAAGCTCTCTCTCAACATCGAGCCTAACTTGCAGCATGTTCTCAGTATCAGTTCCAAGCTCCTCAGCATTCCTCACCAGCCCCTTAGCCTCTCCTGGAGTCTTCAGCCTCTTGGACTTAGGACACTGGCCTACAGGCTGCGGGAACCACAGGGCCTAGGAGGTTGGTTCAGTTCCTACAATTCTTTTACTTTCCAGAGCAACTTCTGTGCGGTACCTGCGCTTCCACAGCTTGGTGAGATGCTGGTGGCGAGCCTCTACTTTCCTGTTGATGGAAAGAATTTCAAAAACTTGACAGGAGAATTACATCTAGTCAATGGGACACTGGGCATAACTGCAACTGGAGAAACTCCAACCTATGTCAACCTTCACCCCGGCAAAACCAGGAGAGGCACTTACATTTTCAGATATAGCCATGGAACTCTTTATACAACTGAAGAAAACATCAGTTCTACAGATGGCTCTAACACACGCTACCTTTTCTACCAGCACCAGGAGCTTTCCTACTTATTCTCCATTGAGTTTGTGAAATTTCATTGGTATAAATTCAATATTTACCTTTATATCAATCAAAATAGATCTTTGGTAGACAGAGATATTGAAGTCCACATTTTCAACAGCAGTCCTTCATTTCTGGAGAACTTTATTTATTTAGTGTGGTTTATTCCTGTACAGCATCCCATGCTACAATGCGAGTGGACCTTCAATCTGCAGTTATTTGGAACAAAAAGAGCCCATCTTATTCAGAATAACAGTTATATATACAACGATCATGTAAGTAATGCCGCACGGTTTGTCCGTCGCTCTGTTTTGCCTTTTGATCCAGAAAAGTATGCAGGGTTTGTGGCAAAAGTGAACTGCACGAGGAATGGACTGACACCTGCTCTTTTACGAGTAAGAGTGAATAATTATGCCTCAAAAACCATAGGTCCATTGGTGGCTTGTCAGGAAAAGCACTGTAGATTAGAAAAGGTTTGGATTCAGAGACCTAGTGTTCATATTTCTCTCTTACGTCATAAAAAGGGGGCAAGTTTTTACCTGTTCACCAGAGTGCTGGTAGGCTGCAAAGACAGTTTAATGATTAGGCCTTTGTGGCGAATTTATCCTGTTGAGGATACAGAAGCTATCCCAGACTGGTCAAGACCTATAGACTCATCTATGATGCAGGGGGTAGATACCATACGCATATCTGTTCCAGGTTCTGCTTTAGATTATGGGCTGTATCTTTTTCATTTCTCTATCAATATAAGGGCATATTGGAATAAAATAGATCTCAATGGCTCAGATAGCATTTATATTCAGATTGACAGAACTGATCTAATTGCAAATATTGCAGGAGGCACTTTCCGGACAGTGGGTTTTTCTGACAGGTGGACTCTAGATGGCTCCTCATCCTCTGACCCTGATTCAGTAGAAGGACTAAAGGGAATCAGTTTTACTTGGTACTGCACTAGAAAGCTATCAGACTATGCAAACATGAAATTGAGTGCAGGAAAGAAGTGTCATCCAGCTCAGAGAAATTTGAAATGGTTAACATCTTCAGGTCCAGTTCAGACAGTGGCACCAGAAACCATCCACGGAAACACTATAAATTACTTTCGTCTAGTGATACAGAAAGATACAAGACAGAGTTATGCTGACCAAACTGTTCATGTGAAGTCTGGATCCCCACCTGTTCTGAGTGTGGTTTGCCTTGAAAACTGTGGTAAAACTGTAATCCCAACAGAAAGACTTACGTTATCTGGAAAATGCCTAAACTGTGGAAGAGGCAGCCAAACAGTCTATCACTGGTCCCTTTTTCCTGCAGAAAAAAATTCCACAGAAATTAGATTTGACTGGTTGTCCAGAACCTCAACAGGGAGATCTGGGCCTTACCTTTCTATACATGCTCTGAGTTTTCTGAATACTGTGTATCAATCCTATGTTCTGCTCTTAACAGTAACTACTTGGGACGGTAGGTCATCAATCTACAGATACTCATTTAAATTAAATTCTCCTCCAAGTACCGGGAAGTGTACCATCACGCCACACCGGGGTACTGCATTTGTGACAAAATTTGTGGTTCGATGCACTGGATTTTCTGATATCAATTTACCTTTGATCTATAAAGTAATAGTGGCTTCTGAGGTACCAAAAACTACCAAAATAAGTTCTTTAGAGGAAAATACATTTGGTACAATTCTGTATTATGGTTATTTGCCTGAAACTCCTCCTTCTTTTCTCCCAGTTGGAGTACCCTCTCAGAAGTATACTTTGGGAATCTATGTTCAAGTCTATAATTCTCTTGGGGCATTTAAACAAGTGAGTTTATACGTAAAAGTGCAGAACCCAGTTGAAAGTCGACCAGTAGCTCTTGTGTTTCATGAGCTACTTACCTCAGTAAGTGGTTTGAGTGCACCAATGACATCTTATCTCCAAACTGGAGACTATTTTAATGCTGGCTATTTGACTTATATTGCAGCCTCAGTTTTGAACTATATTAAAGCTGCACCAACTCTCCAAATATCTAAGGTTCAATTTCGAGAAAACCTTATTAAAGCAGCCATGAATATCTCAATGAATAGCATAATAGAGATGAATCAAGTAGTTGCTTCTATTTTTCAAGTCACAGAGGAAACTGATGAAATAAATATTAAATTGCAAGAGCTTGCCATTCAAAAACTGATAGAAGTAACTGAAGTGCTGAAAATACTAAGGAATGAGAGCCATTGGTCTGAACAAACAGAAATTCAAACCAGTGGAATACTAAGGTGCTTATCCAACATCCTGAGAGCTTCTCTTTTACATCAGAAGAATGTCAATGTTGATGGAATTAAACAAGTTTTCTTTATCATGGAAAATTTAACCGACATAGTTTTGGAGGGCAAAGTCCCTGGAGAAATAGAAACTGTAATGGAAACACAAAAATGAAATATCACTCTGAACAA